CTTATTTTGAAGTATACTATCTAGCGATCACCGTACAGTTATCCCGGTCGAAACAGGTTTTAATGTCTGGTACGACTCATAAACTGAGATTCCATGATATTAAAAAAAGAATTCATTTAGGGAAAAATTCGTATGCTTATGATTACGAATAACATTAGACATAGAATATACTTCAAAGACAGAAAATTTTGAATAATATTGTTATTTTCTTTACATTTTGACAATATTTTTTTAAAAATTCGTCAGGCCCGCAACTAGACCCGCGGCTTGCAATCGTGTTAGCATTTTTCTGCCCGCAACCCGCATTTTTCGGCCCGCAGCCCGCATTTTTCGGCCCGCAGCCCGCAATTTTTGGCACGCAACCCGCATTTTTCGGCCCGCAGCCCGCAATTTTTGGCCCGCAGCCCGCATTTTTCGGCCCGCAGCCCGCATTTTTCGGCCCTGTTGAGTTCAATATAAAACTGTATGTTATCCAAATATTAATATGACGTAATACTGAGAGACAAATGCATGATGGGATTGTTGTGTTGTTAGTTGAACTTCCTCGTGAAAGCAACTTACTGTACAAAACTACATTTGTAATAAACGTGAAAATAAAGAGTGATTTCATTACAAATACGGTGTTCTAAAGTCATGGCTTCAACAGGTTATGGGCCCAGCAGAGAATCACGCTGGTCAAGGTTGACTTTCGATGGAAACGAAAGCAATTACGAACTGTGGGAAGCGAAATTCCTCGCGCACATGAGGTTATTAAAACTAAAGGATACTATCCTGCCGTCAGAAGAAGAGGCTAACGCAACAAAGAACGAAGAATGCTACGCCGAGCTTATACAGTGTTTGGATGACACCAGTCTGTCATTGGTAATGAGGGATGCTACCGACGATGGCCGAAAGGCTTTACAAATACTCCGAGATCATTATGCAAATCAAGGCAAACCAAGAATCATCACACTCTACACTGAGCTAACGTCACTTGAAAAAGCACTTCACGAGACAGTCACAGATTACTTAATAAGAGCCGAGAAAGCAATAACAGCGCTTAAGAACGCCAAAGAAACGTTAAGCGATGGGCTAATAATTGCTATGATCTTAAAGGGGCTGCCTGATTCATATAAACCGTTCTCGATACATGTGACCCAAAGTGCAAGTGAGATAACGTTCGCGAAGTTTAAGAGCATGTTGAGGAGCTTCGAAGAAACGGAAAAGCTCAACACCAAACCGAAAGTTGATCAGGTAATGAAAGCTGAGTTTCCTTTGCAAACAATGACATGTTATGGCTGCGGGAAAAGAGGGCATTTAGTCAGAGAGTGCCCTGCTAAGAGCGAGAAGAAGTGGTGTAACTATCACAAAAGTACAACACACTCGGATAGCACCTGCAGAAGTCAGCAAAAGAGCAAAGACCAAGCCAAACGGGTGTCGGAGAAAGAAAACACCTCTACAGATGAACATTCATTTGCATTCAAAGTTAACGACGAAGCAACAGGGAACATCAATCGAATGGGAATGTTGGTTGACACAGGTGCCACTTCTCACATTGTTACTACTGATATTTTAAAGCAAATAGACATGACATTTAAACCATCAAAACATTTCATTGAACTGGCTGATGGCACACGAGCCAGTAATATTGCATTGAAACGAGGGGATGCTGAAGTGTTTTTGAAAGATACAAATGGAAAATGTGTGAAAACGGTGCTGAAAAACGCCTTATATATACCATCCTATCCTCAAGATATTTTCTCAGTGAAGGCAGCCACATCAAATGGAGCCGAGCTTCGATTTGCCCAAGATACTGGTGAGCTAACCCTTGAAGATGGTACCATTGTTGAAATTGAAGAACATGGACGGTTGTACTATTTAACTTCCATAGGCAGTCATGAGAACGATAGCGTAAGTGAAGTAGATAAAGTAAATCTCTCGTATGATATTAACACATGGCATGAAATCCTAGGGCACTGCAATTTTGAAGATATTATAAAACTACAGGGGGTAGTTAAGGGCATGAAATTCTCAGGTAAAATTGAGTCATCTAAGTTAGGTTGTAATACATGTGTAGAAGGAAAATTTGTAAACAGCAGGAGTAGGATTCCTGATGCAAGATCTCAAAAATCATTGGAGAAAGTGCATGTGGATTTGGCAGGTCCAGTTTCTCCTGTATCAAGAGAGGGGTTTAAGTACTGCATAGCTTTTACTGATGATTTCTCAGGAGCAGTATTTGTTTACTTTCTGAAATGTAAAAGTGACACCTTTGTAGCAACAGAGAAATTTCTAGCAGACATCACTCCTTATGGCAAGGTAAGTTGCATCCGTTCTGACAATGGCTCAGAATTTACAGGTAAGGCGTTTCAAACACTACTAAGGGAGCGTGGCATAAAACATGAAACTTCTGCTCCCTACACGCCACACCAGAATGGCACCGCCGAAAGGCACTGGCGCACATTGTTCGAAATGGGCAGATGTCTTCTTCAATCAGGGTTACCCAAAACTCTCTGGCCCTATGCAATTCAAACCGCAGCTCACATTAGGAATAGATGTTTTAATAAGAGAACAAAGACAACACCCTACTTTAGCCTTACTGGGAAAGTACCTGATCTTTCTAAAATGTGGATCTTTGGATCGGAATGTTTTGCTTACGAACAGGAGCATAAGAAATTAGACTCAAGATGCAGCAAGGGGGTATTTGTGGGATACGACAAAAATAGCCCTTCTTACCTAGTGTACTACCCAAAAAATGGGAAAATCATGAAACATCGACTCATTAGATTCATCAAGAAATGTAGTGTAGAACAGCACACACAAACTGATGAGTCCAGCAGGGATTGTGATGTACATGAGAAATCTGATCATGATACTAGATCAGACTTAGATAGTATGAGCCTCCCTGTTTTAAGTGCAATGCCGCCAAATACAGTGCCTGATGAGGAGCCTAGGGATAGTGAGGGAAGGCATTGCAGCCATACTGAGAATGACAGTGAGACAAAACGGTATCCTCAAAGAGAAAGGAACCCTCCCAGATACCTAGAAGAGGACACCCTCCTCCCTAAGAATGCCGATTGTGCCCACATTAGTGTAGATTACTGCTACAAAGTTTGTGGATTACCACAAAATTACACAGAAGCCATGGGATCACCTCAAGCTAGGGAGTGGGAGCAAGCAATGAAGGAAGAGATCAGCTCTCTGAAGGAAAATGATACTTACGAATTATCAACTTTACCAGAAGGTAAAGCTTCAGTAGGGGGAAAATGGGTGTACACAACCAAACAAGATCAGAATGGCATAGAGTCCTTTAAAACCAGATATGTAGCGAAGGGTTACAGCCAGGTAAAGGGTATAGATTATCAAGAAACTTTCGCCCCGACAGCCAGTATTACTTCAATTAGGGTCTTAATGCAGTTAGCAGTAAAACATGATCTTATTGTCCACCAGATGGACGTTACAATTTACAATTTATAATAGCTTTATTGGCATGACCTTAAATTACAGGTATTGCTAAAGCATAATAATCTAAATATAAATAATCTAAATACAAATAGTCTAAATATAGTAAAAAGGTAGAAATTCCAAGTTTACAAATAGTAAGAAGTACATGCATTACAATAACTATATAGTCAATCCCAATAACACAAATAACAGATAACCAATAAGATCTATTTACAAGATATAGGAAAAATTTTCATTCAACTTTCTAAGTTTAGAGAAATAGTATGTTAATAATTAACTGACAGCAATCCCAATTTCAAGGTATCTATTTCTTTCCGTAAAACAGGAAGAAATATATTTCGACAGAGATAAAATAGTCTCGTGCTCTGTAGATTTCATTATATCTACTAATTGTGCCTGATCTATGATAATGGTTAGCTTGTTTCTGAGAGTGGTGTAAAAATTCTCTCTTTGGTTGCTGTAGGCTTTACACCAATTTGCAAAATGGTATTCATCTTCCACTTCCCCTGACTGGCAGATTTCACACAGTCGTTCTTCCCTTGGTATTTTTTGATAGCGACCTAACTCAATCATTAATTTGTGGTTGCTCACTCGAAATTTTGTGAGTGCTTTCCTTTCGGTTGGATTTTTTATTGTTGAAAGATATTTCTCTAGTTGGTATTCTGTTTTGAACGTGTTGTAAAACTTTAGTTTGGAGGAGTTTTCGAGTTTGTGTTTCCAAAAATTAAGATATTTTTGCTTTATGTTGTCATGGATAAAGCTTAGTGTTTGAATTGCGATTGATTCCAGTTCTGTTATTTGTGTGTTGCAGTTATAGGATTTCAAAATATCCATAATATTTCCATAGAACGAGGTAATTCGTTTGGAGTGTAAGTCTTTCGAGATAAGAAAAGCTTGTTTGGCAAGTGCTTCTTCAGGTAGTGAATTTAGATGAATAATGTATTTGAATAGTCGCTTGTAAATATTGATTATCAGTGGAAACTTTCCTAGTTCACCTCTGCAAGCAATATTTGTTGTTTTCTTCCCAACACCCAAGTATAGTTTGCAAAATCTCAAGTGTGTTTTTTCAATCTGAGAGTTATCCCAATTGTTAAAGTCATTTTTGATATAAGCACCCCACACTTCTGAGTTGTATAAAAGAATTGGTGATATTATGGTATCAAATATTTTGATAGCTAGTTTTGGGTTTAAATTGTGTAGATTGAGATGTCTTCTTATACTGTATAGGGCATGAAGTGCCTTTTCACCAAGTTGTTTCATAGCTAATGTGAATTTACCATTTGAGTTAAGCTTAATTCCTAGGTAGCAATATTCTTGTACAATTTCTATGGTATTGCTGTCTAATGTGAAGCTTGGTTTAGTCTGTGTGCCTGATGAGGAGCCTAGGGATAGTGAGGGAAGGCATTGCAACCATACTGAGAATGACAGTGAGACAAAACGGTATCCTCAAAGAGAAAGGAACCCTCCCAGATACTTAGAAGAGGACACCCTCCTCCCTAAGACGTTAAAACTGCATATCTGCATGCCCCCATTACTCAAGAGTTATACATAGACCAGCCACAAGGGTTTGAAGAGGTTTCAGAGAGTGGTGAGAGGTTAGTATATAGGCTAAAGAAATCGCTATATGGTCTAAAACAATCAGGTAGAAATTGGAACATATTGTTACACGAGCATTTAGCAAATGACGGTTTTGTCAGAAACCATGCTGATCACTGTGTATATAAGAAACAAGTTGATGATAAAATTGTTATCGTCATTGTTTGGGTTGATGACCTAATCATAGCTTCAGATAGTATGCAGTTAATGGAAGAATTTAAAGAAAGTATGAAGACACAATTTAAGATGAAAGATCTAGGTAGAATCACTTTCTTCCTTGGAATGGATTTTAAGCAAAGCAAGGGTGAAATAAAAATTAATCAGAAAAGATTCATTCTTAAAATACTAGAGAGATTTGGAATGATAGACTGCAAGCCCAGCTTAACCCCATGTGAGCAACGATTAGAATTTAACTGTGGTGAATTGACCAACGCCAGACAGTATAGAGAAATGATAGGAAGCCTAATTTATGCCATGACCTGTACAAGGCCTGATTTAAGTTGGATTGTAAGCAGACTGTCTCAAACTCTGTCAAACCCCAGAACGGAAGATTTAATTGCTGCCAAACATGTCCTAAGGTATCTAAAGGGTACCGTGGATTATGAACTCTGCTTTAAGAAATCTGATGCTGACTTGCAGCTCACTGCTTATAGTGATTCAGATTGGGCCTCTTGCCTGGAAGACAGGCGAAGTACTACAGGTTACTGTTGTACTCTAACTGAAGGAGGACCACTGATTTCATGGAAGTCGAGAAAGCAACCAACGGTTGCCATTTCCACTTGCGAAGCTGAATATGTAGCTTTAGCAAATACAGCTCAAGAGTGTTTGTATCTAACTCAATTGTTAAACGGTATGTATAAGAAAGTACATCAGAGTATGAAGGTAAGTGTTGATAACCAAGGGGCAATTGCACCAAGTAAGAACCCAGTTAACAGACAACGTTCTAAGCATATTGACATAAAGTACCACTTTGTACGTGAAATGTATGTTAAAGGCATGATCGATATTGTATATTGTCCTACCCAAGATATGGTAGCTGATATCCTAACAAAGCCACCCACAAAATGTAAACTAGATAATTTTAAAAGTATCGTGTTCGGTTGTGGTAATTAGTTTATATTCTGATAACAAGTGAGGGTGTTGAGTTCAATATAAAACTGTATGTTATCCAAATATTAGTATGACGTAATACTGAGAGACAAATGCATGATGGGATTGTTGTGTTGTTAGTTGAACTTCCTCGTGAAAGCAACTTACTGTACAAAACTACATTTGTAATAAACGTGAAAATAAAGAGTGATTTCATTACAAATACGGTGTTCTAAAGTCATGGCTTCAACAGGCCCGCAGCCCGCATTTTTCGGCCCGCAGCCCGCAATTTTTGGCCCGCAGCCCGCAGTTTCGGCCCGCAGCCCGCAACCCGCAGAATAGTTAAACTCGGTGTTCGCGAGGTTCAACCGGGATATTCGGAAAGTCAAATCGCGATCTGGAGTATGTTATTTTTTAAAATTTCTATGACGTCAAAATACGTCATAAATCTGATCATCCGTACATTCGTACATGCAAATAAAATCGAGTTGTCGCTCGGCTATACATAACTCGGCCAACCGGAAACGGACTGGCGCGAGAAAAACACATCGTCAAGAATAGGTGGCTGCCTACGGCAGCAATTATTTTATTTTTATCAGTACCTTGAATAAAGCTGTTTTATAAAATTGGCGCAAGGGGCCTGGGAACGACATTGTTACCTTGGCAACAAAATTAGAAGTGTTTTTCCATGCGTCTCATCATGTACAATCAATATCCAAAATTTCATTTGATTTGGGCCCATAATAACTGAGCTATGCTTCAGTGTAGTATTCAATAAACATACTTACCCCGCTTATGACGTCACACATTGTGCTGAATCAGCAATTTATATTTTGCACATTTTTGCGTATAACTTCGGAACTAGATGAGATAGAATAGAGCATTAAACGGCCAATCAGCTTATTTTTTCATGCTCTTTCAGACGAAGCAATAAGATAGATGAAGCAATTTTCATTGCCCATACCCTTTAAGCTTGTTAATATTGCGCTATCAATATTAGAAATAATTCTAAGAATTTTGATGGATTTGTAAGAAATGTTTGAATGAACTGACTCAGTGTTTTGGGCATTGAATTAGTTGATTTAGTTCCCGTCGGTTCTACCAACCATTTCTTACAAATCCTTCTAAACTTTACCCAGGCTGAACTTTATATACAAAATTCTGCTCTGAGTGATCAAAAGTCTGATCAAAATTCTTTTGAATCGGATCGAACACCAACATGGTGGCTGTGATGTCATATTAGCCAATTATACAAATTATAGTTTAGCTTCATAGTCTGTTGTGATTTTCTGTAATGCATTCTGTTTTTCTCTAGCTATTTATCGGCAAATACTGGGAATGATGATAAAATTAACATTTCACACTTTTTATGCAATAAATCTAAAGAAAAGTGTTTAGTTTAGTTTAATTTTAATAGTTTACATATAACAGATTTATTAGGAATAATAACAGCTAGTTCCGAAAAGGGAAAGTACGCAGCAGATTGTAAGAACGATGCAAGGCTACCCATGCACATTTGCAAAATAATTTACATATTACATGCAGAGATAGGGTACAGTCCAGTCTGCGCATGCGCACATAGGGCTGTGTTATAAACACTTTAATAAAAACCTTTCATTTTATGTTCTTTAATAGCCTGCTTGTTGTATCTTGTTAATTTATTATGCTGTAGAAGCATGAAAATATAAACAGATGTTGATCGAATAATTAACAATTATTCGCCGAAGGCGAGGTGATTATCGGGAAATATATTCATTGGGAAGAAATCGAGGTGAATGTTCCCCGATAATCACCGAGCCTGAGGCGAATAATTGTTTTAGTATAATTTTTGCACAAGTTTTTTTTGTGTTTTTCTGGTCTGAATTCATTTTAATTTCGCTTATTTCTTTATCACTATATAACTTCAACAAATCGACCAGCCGCCATTTTTAAAATTTCGATTTTGTTATATTCACCTGTAGGTGAATATAACAGATTAATACGTCAAATTTGACCAATCACCTTGTTAGGATTTGCTATGTTCACTTGTGCAAAAATACTAAAGTTCAATATTTTGAATTATACCGAAATGTAAACAAAGGCTTTGTTTATATATACGGACTGTCCCCTGCCTTTAATTAATAAAATTTATAGTTTACAACTCTTGATAGCTCCAGATAGGTGGGACCTAAATATACAATAATAGTGTGATTTGCTTCCAATTAACGCATTGAGAAAAAGAACTAAATTTTATCATGCTATTTGCCTATTAATAAATTGGCATACCGATGATAATAATTACAATTTATTAATAGGCAAATAGCATGATAAAATTTAGTTCTTTTTCTCAATGCGCTAATAATTCCCTTACAAAAAAAGTCTATAGGCCTGGCCTATAGGCCAACTTATAGGTTCCTATAGGAAACCTATAGGTTTTTATAGGCAATTGGGACATTTTCTATAGGTGACCTATAGGGATGCCTATAAGCCGCCTATAGAGCTCTATACATGCCTAAAGGCTTCTATAGGGAATTGGAACATTTCCTATAGGCCACCTATAGACTTTTTTCGTAAGGGTTTGTAGCAAAGCATAACCAGGGGCGTAGCGTGTGGGGGGAGGTGTGACACCCCCCCAGTTTTAGTGAGGTAGTCGGTAAAACGCTAAGTTATTCGGTAATGGCAAGAGCCATGACAGCAGTCGGTAAATGGCTTTTAATAATAAAAAAATTAAATTAATGTTGTGCCTTGTTCTCCAATAAAGTTATGCAAAATGTACGTAATTCTTCAGTATTAAAACACTTATATTAAATATCTATGCATAAGCATTGGAGCCCCTAATTTCCTATCGTATTACACTTGCAAGAGCTGCGAAAACAGTCGGTTCTGATTGGACATGTTCAACTGTGCGCAAACTTTTGACCTTGATACAATGATACGCAAAAGAATTAAAGATTATATTTATATATTTGTTATTGACACGCGGTGCTCATAAAATGTTTCGCCAATTTTTCAAGTCTGTTCTTTACAATAAACAACAAGATAAATGCCTTATCGCGAAGTAACAAAGACAACAATTATTCCAATTACAGCCAAACCGGATGTTCCTTTCCTACCCAACATTGCAATATTGCTAAGCAATATTGCAATGTTGATTGGCTAGTTGCTTCGAGCAAGTTGGTATCCTTACTTCCGCTAATTTACAGCGGTAAAACGTGTTTACTTGCTAAGCAAAATATAGCAAATATTCTGTGCAAATATCGTGCTATTAATATGTATAATTGATATGTCATATTTAGACAACCGTTACGGTTGTTTTTTTTCTGATGAAGCTATTCTTGATTATGAAGATTTACTCGATAGAATAAAAACGGCTGTACCGTATATACAAAGTATTCCAAGCGAACGCATTCGTATTGCGTACAAAGATGTCACACTTTCGTCTGGTGCGGGGCAAAATGAAGGTGTGTTCATAAATATTTTGCCTGGAAACCCAATGGTTCTCGGAGAAGCATTTAGAAATGCTTATGATTGTGGTGCCGAATCGTTCAAAAGGATTGAAATTAAATTGCGTGAGGTAGATTCTCCGTATGTTGCGAAAATGAAAAAGCAAAACACAAACACGACAGCAGCTTCGAGGTACAACACAACAGAACAGCAGAGTAGTAAAGAACTGTTTCCGGAGACAAAGCAGGATTGGAAGATAAGTAAGTTGGAAGACATGAGCGATCATGCTCAACAATTACAAGACGAATTAGTTGCCGTAGATATTCAGCTAGAAGAACTAAGACGACCCGTTATTGAGCCTCCCCAACTTGGACAGTACAAATCTATTGTCTGTGGCAAATGTCATATTCGTGGCCACCGAGCTGAAGGTAACAGACATAACGCAGCGTGTATGAGAGAAGTTTGTACTTCGTATTATACTTGCGGACAAAATAAGAAGCATCCTGAACATTTTGAGCAAATAAGGAACCTAACCAAAAAACGAAAGCAATTAAATTCGGAAGTCGAGACATTGAGCACCAACAAAAGAAGTTTAGAAGCCTTTCAGTCAAAGTCTGTGTCCGCTTTTGTTACGACAATAACTCCTCGTCTTTTAAAGGCGTTCCCAGACCGGTACAACACAACAACTACATCTGGAAAAATATTACTTCAGAAAGATCTGGCTACTCTAAGGATCGCGTGTAACAATAAAATACCCATCCCTTCAATGAACGAAAGGGAATATTTTACAGAACTTCTTGAGAATCAGCAAAAGCTAGTTACTGCAAGTGATTTAAACTTCGACGCTCGCGCGGCAAGTACTTCTCAAATCAACATTAACACTCACATTTCTTCGCCAGTAAGTGAGAAAGCAAAGCGTCATAAAACGAAAACAGTAGCAATGCCAGTGGAAATCTCGTCTTCGGACGACCATTCTACTGACAGTTCTGATACCAGCAGCGACGACAGCGAATCATTCGACGAAGGAAAGCGATCAAAATCTCGGCGCACAAAAAAACATCGCCGTAAATATAAAAGACATGACCATTGGGGCAAGAAAAAGCGTAGTTATCGGTTGCAAAAAGTAAGTAACGAGTACACCGGTAATGAGAATTTTAAAATAGACAATAGTCAAGAAAAACAAACCGTGTCTATAAATCAATCAACTAATAACCGTAGATTATTGCCATATTCAAATATTTTGCAAGGGGCTATACCTTCGGATTTTGGAATCTTTGAAATTGGCGAGTCAAACTCCCACCAGCTTGAGTACGGTACATCAACGAAGAAAGACAGGCAATCCGAACAAAACTTTGTTACCGATTATAGCACTTCGACTTTAGACGATTTAGCAAATGCTGCAGAGCAAATCGACAATCGTACTTGTTTTACTATAGATTAATTTCGCATGTTTAATAGCGTAATTTGCTATTTAGTACTAGTGTTGACATTGTGTTACTAGTATTGTGCTATATAGTATATACTAGAACTATACTGAGTATATATAGTATTTATTGACATTGTTTTGCGTTTAGGCCTATATGCATGCCTTATAATTGGCAATGTGTAATGCATGTTGACATTGTTGTGTTTGTATTTTCTATAGCAGAAAGTAAATCGTTTCAAAATTTGTTTTGCTGATTTTATGTCTGATTTTACACCTGTTTTCTCAAGGCAACCCAACGTATATTAGTCTGCGAACCCAGACGTTATTAATACTTCCCACAATGAGCGTGAGAAATGACGTCTGCATGGGTTCGCAGACTATAGGGGTATATATTTACAGTAAATCAGACATATTTTCGTTCGCTGGCCATGGGTTCAATGGGCGTAGCCACGCATGTAACGGAACAATCATGGATTACATTCAAAATAGATTATTTTGTGACAAAAAATACAAAAATTCGCATCCAAATGGAACCCAATCGAAAGAAGCAGGTATAGTATGTAAATTTCAACTGGAATTTGCAAAATACTTACAACTCGTTCAAGACCAACACCAAAAATTAACAACGCTTAAACACATTATAGTAACGTTATTTCTATATTATAACGTAGTTTAGATATATGATAGACAGTTTAATTAGCTATCGAGTATCGTATATGTTTAAACTAAAAATCCACAGTGCCTGAAAAAGTTTGTGCACATGTTTGGAGTGATAACTTCTAAAGCGCGAAGAATTGCGAGTTCAGTAAAGTTTAAAGCAAAATTTTCATGCTTTCTGAGAAACGACTTAATAACACTAAAACTAAACTCGCAAGGGTTAAATTCGGGAGAATATGGAGGTTGGAATATCAGAGTTATATCTCTTTGGCCAAGCATTCTTCGCAATTCTGCCTCCGCAAAATGTCCGTGATGAAACCGACAGTTATCCATTACGACGATGTCCCCATGTGCTAACACAGGATTTCCGTAAAACTCATCTACAACTTGCATGCTTTCGTGGAAAAAATGTAACATTTCCAAACCATTTGATGCTCCTTCTAGCAAGTTGTAGTGGGTTATGCCAAATCTGCTTTGCAATAAATTTATAGTGTAGTTACAATCGGACGCGTAACGTTTAACTTCTATAGCTCGCTTCCCCCTTTTAGCATGCCCATAATGGCGATTGCCTGTCGTTCTTTTAACCGATGATTCATCAAAGAAGTGTACCCTCGATGGATCAACTTGGCTCATTAACATCGCGTACTCTATTGATTTTACTTGATTCTGTTCGTTTAAGGACTCTTGTGGCACGACTTTTAACTTTTTAAAAGTAAAATTTAAATCTTTCCTGAGCACATCGCTGATAGTCGATTTCGACGGCAAATTTTCCAAGTTGCATACACCATCGTTCATTAGTGCTACTTGTATCTCGAAAGCGGTAATGCTGGGTTTGGAAAGTTTTTGGAATTCGATGTATTCTACAACAATGGGAGTAGCAATTTGCCTTTCTTTTCCGCCAGGCTTCAATGGGAACAAATGACCGCGCTCTGTGAACTGTCTTACAATATTTGAGACAGTCTTCGATGTGACACCAGTGCGAGAAGCAACAGCTGAAAAACTTTCTCCAGCCAGCCAAAGATTTAACATTCGCTTACGAACGGGTAACGAAGCAATTTTGGTTTTCTGGACATGCGACATAGCATATAGCCTAAATATAACTGATATAAATACCGGTACTGTATATAAATTTAAAATAAACCCTTGTAGTTGACACTCAAATTTTGGGCGCCAAGTCAGTTGCAAATTGCCCGCGTTGATTGGTAGTTGCTCCAGCCAATTACCGAAGGAATATTGCAACATTGCTGAGCAATGTTGCAATATTGAAGGGAAAGGAACATCCGGTTTGGCTGTAATATGTTTATAGTTCAAATTTTGCAACAAAAGGTGGAATTACAGTATTAATAATATACATAAAGATATTACTCGACTGTGATTGGTTGATTTCAGTGCAGTTAATCCCAAACAGCAGTGCAATTTTCTGTAATCACAGTGCAATTTTCTGTAATCACAGTGCAATATGTTGTAATCACAGTGCAATTTTCTGTAATCACAGTGCAATTTTCTGTAATCACAGTGCAATTTTCTGTAATCACAGTGCAATATGTTGTAATCACAGTGCAATTTTCTGTAATCACAGTGCAAAAATCTGTAACAAACTGATCTGATTGGTGGAAAAACATTGTGATGATTAAATCAACCAATCAGTTTAAAGCAATTTAGTTTAAAGAAGTAACGGTCACAGATTGCTTCAAAACAAAACAAACATGGCGCCGCGCTACAGTGAAGTAAAAGTTGTTTTCGCGTGAAAAATATGGCTTTTATCTTTATTTTTAAATGGAAAAGCATTGACCTTAAACAAGACTAACAAAAATTACATAGTTGAGTGGAATTTTCAAGCTGTTAGCGTTGCATAATGTGATATAACAAAGCCAGGAAAAGTTTGCCGGTGGAATGTTTGCTATAAACGCGTAAGTTAAAACTACAATTGTCTCGAACATTTTTATGTAAATTATTAATAAGTAATAGCATGGTTTCTCGTGAAATTTGGATAAACATGCACTCGTGAGTTTTTCAAAGACCTCAAATAGCACTCGTCTTCGGACTCGTACTATTTCGAGGTTTTTGAAAAACTCACTCGTGCATGTTATATCCAAATTGCACTCGAAACCATGCTATTACCTATACTAAACGTGCATGTGATAATTATTGTAAACAAAGTGACGAGTAAATTACTGTACATTTTAACGCCACATTTTACCATAATGGAAAGTTGGGCACTTTAACGGGAGATCTCCTGCGGCAGGCAAAGGTCAAAAACTGCTGATGCTGCAAAATCTTGTGGCAGAAAAACTGTAAAATGGATAGTGCAGCAGAACTAGTTCAGAAAATACTTGCGGCACAATTTGGGTGACACGTCAGTGGTGTGCTGTATCAACACATCTTAAGATGTATTAATTATTCGACAAAACAGCTGTGTTGATTTTAATGTTTACTGTTTAGTGGTCAGCGGTATTGTGTGTAGTCATGAATTTTTTACCTGCGGCAGAATATTTTTGGCATTGCGGCAGGATGGAATACATGGTCTTGTCAATTGCAGCAGCCTCCTGCGGCAGCCAAAGCGTACTTTCCACTATGGGCATTTTATAAATATTAAATAGTCAGTATAACATTGTAAAACAAGCTTAATACAAACAAATGCACTGAATATTATCAGAATAATTCTCAATATTGTTTCATGAAAGAGAAGCGATATATAAATGGCTTGTCCCTAGGTTTCGGATTTGTTCAGTCTTTTCTTAGCCTAGGAGTCAGACAAGCCCAGGACACAATAAAGCATGCAAGCTTTTAGTATTCGTCTTTATATAAGTACTATATTATTTTACTGTAAAAAGTCAACAAGGTACAAAATACATGACACTTTTATCTCTACATTGCCGCAATTCCGAAGCTTTGCGTTGCTCAGTTTTACAAACGGGAAGTGTAGTTTATGGAAGCTTGTCAATCACTTCATTTGAATCAGTTACCAACCAATCAGAGCTCTGCGTCCAAATATTGAACGCATGCACGTAAATATCATAGGGATCCTTGCAGGCTCTCTTTCACCCAGAGAGCCTGCTCGCAGGTTATGTTAATCATTAATTTCACGACTTGCCCGTGTGATTATTTATTTATTATATGCATGACAAAATCGCTTTCTTTATATTTCAACTGCATTTTGTCAAGAGTTTTTAATTCTTTTGTAAGCAATTTGGTATAAACAAACTTGAGAAATGATTATAAACTCATAAAGGCACATAATTTAAACTAGAACACAAGATTCAAACTCAAACAACATATTTTAGACTAAGAAAATCTTTATAAATTGTATTACATCGCTGCATCCCGCCAAGATTATTTCTTAAGACTGTTTCCAGGTATTTTCCACAGGCTCTTTTTGCTATACAATGTTTCTTAAACTAATTCTTGTGCCAAAATTCAGTTAAATTCGTCCACATTTGTTAGAATTAATGAAATAATTGTACTCCTCTTAACCAATCAGATTGCAGTAATTTTGTCATGTATGTAATAAATTCTAAAAAGACAATAATTATATTGATGTCTCTAAAGGCTTTGAAATTACTTGTCTTAGAATTTTAAGCACAGAAATAGGTACGCTACTAGTTTACCCACAGGGTAGTGAATGCTGCCTTGGTATAGCATTGTTCCCAAATCTTTAAATGAGATTTTTTGTATGTTACGTAACACGCGCTCAAAACTAATGCGTATAATATACCACATGAGATTATGCCGGACTAAAAACAAAATTTTTATTTTTCGATACGTTTCTCAATCGGTAAAAAAAACCTTAAAAAGTGTGTTTAGTGCTTTATCTGTAAAATAATGCTAAAATAAAGAGATTTTAAATGATGATACGCCAAAGAGAAAATGATGTCTGAAGTTCAGTACGTTTTGCTTAAATGGCTGTAACTCTATAAACTGTAGAGAATAAAGCTAAAACAAAGTAATTTTGAGAGGAAAGCCAAAAAGATTTTAGGTTTTGAATACTTTTCATTGCAAATACGTGACATTGAAAAAAAATGCCTCTTAATATTTTAAAGAATAAGAGTAAGAAATATTCGTAATGAATTGGAATCATCCATAATTTTATAATTTATACACTTGAATGTGCCGTATTAACTCGGCGCTCGAAGTTTCGTATCGAAAGAGGAACAGCCGAACAGGTAGAAAGAATGAGTGTACTTATCAACTTATCTAACGCGAGGAAAAGATCAAAATGGCAGGTATAGCTGTGATATCTAGTATATAACATTGTATAGACAATTTGCCCACAAATACGGTGCTAGGTCAAAACGGCTCAAAGTCAAAACGGCCCAAAGTTCAAACGGCCCTGCTTCAATAATCATATGATTTAGACCAGGGGTTAAAGGACAATGACAATGACAATCAATTTATAAAGAAATAAAGATAATAATTTTGAATTTGTCCAAACTTACATTTACATTGCCATTGACGACGGCTGGTATTTCGCCGAGCAATGCCTGATTGCAAAACAATTCGATCTATTGAAAATAAGAAAGCTAAATTGAAGCCTACTACTAGAAAAGCGGAACTTAGTGAGATTTGAGGCTATTTTTTTGGGTCTGTAGGGTCAATTGTAGTATACACAATAGGGTTCTGAAACTGCTTAAAAGTATGACAGAAGCCATTGGGATACATGATTGACATTAAGATGCATGATTATCCATCCCATGCGACTTAGTAATGCCATCAAAGGTTGGCGTGAATGTGCAGCATCAGATCACAGCTTTCTTTATTGAGAGCGATTTTGGCTTTTGCATGGGACGTATAATGATTTTTCATGTTATCGCAATGTTAAGTATTAATTAAAGTATTCCTGAAACTATCAAATTCAATGTCGTGACAAGCGAATTAATACCGTATCGAGGAAATGCAGCCCATAATAAGTAATGTAAAAATGTTACATACTTCATCTGGTAATATTGCAATTGTATGGCTTGGTCCTATTATAATTAAAAAAATGAATAAATAAATAACCTGAACATTACTAACTTTATTTGCTGTATGACTCTATCATTTCTAAACTGATCTTCCCAGAAGTAAAATGCAAGCCATATTGATTTATAGTTATACAAGAATGAAACCTTAATTAAACGAACTTCATTTCAATACATACACGTAGTAATATAGGTACCGTTCGACACGGGTTTTTGAGGGTGCTGAGAGTGCGCTAATTAATATTCATACCTCCACATTAATTAATATACCTGCACATTAATTAACATTTTTGAGAGTGCGTAAGTGTGCTGAGGGTGCGTTAATTAATATTCATACAATGAGGGCGAGGTATTAATATTCATACAATCAGGGTGAGTGAGGGTGAGGTGTGGAGGGTAATTAACATACCTCGACTTTAATTAATACACCTCCACATTAATATACCTCGACTTTAATTAATATACTTCCACATTAATTAATATACTTCCACATTAATATACTTCCACATTAATATACCTCCACATTAATTAATTAATACCTCTACATTAATTAATTAATATCCTCCACATTAATATACCTCCACATTAATTAATTAATATACCTCCACATTAATTAATTAATATACCTCCACATTAATTAATTAATGGAGTACCTCCACATTAATATACCTCCACATTTATTAATGGAGTACCTCCACATTAACAGAGGTACAGAAACATCTTGAGATATGTCCGTATTTTTAATAATTTTTTAGAGAATATGATTACTTTGCACAGAATGTGATTATACAATTACTTTATGGTTTCCGTGTTTGGATGGCCTGATCCAAACACGCGGGAATGTTGCGAGAGTTAAGAAAAGCGAGCGAAATCACGAGCCGAAGGCGAGTGATTTTGCTCGCTTTTCTTAACTCGAGCAACATTCCCAAGTGTTTGGATCAGGCCATCCAAATACGGAAACCATAAAGTAATTGTTTTATAAAATAACAACAACACGATAGTCTCCGTGTTTGGATGGCCTGATCCAAACACGGGTTTCGACCAATCAGAACACGCGTTATATACATGTTATTTTATAATTAGTATTAATAGTGAGTGCGATGATTTACCACAGCAAATGATATAAAGTTTCTCGAAGACATAGAACACTGGCCACTGCTTATGTTACTTTGAACGAAATAAAAACTATGGCTTTACAAGCATATTTTCAAAATATAGAGTTTTTATTGAAGAAATAAATGCGGTACAAACATAAATATTCTGATGGCAGCGTTGTCAGGTAATCCCCGCGCATAAAACACAAAGTTTGAGGTAATTAAAAGGATTAGGGCAATACGAATTTGAATAACCAACATGATCCTAATGGATATATAAATGGATATTATTACAAGCGGTCATGGGCATGTTCAGCATTA